TATTAGTGTTTTTCTAAGAAAGAGATGCGAAAAATCAGCTGTGTCCTTCCCGGAATTCGAGGCACGGATTTCCAATTTTGCTAGCTGAAAGTGCTATGTATTTCACTTACATTGCGAGATCACGCATGGAATGCAAATATTTTTAGTCAAAGGGGCTTTGTCCCTGAAGGACTATTGTTTTCGTTTTGCGATTTTGGGCTGAATCACTATAAATGTCCGTTTCATTTTTCAAACTGTTGCCACCTTAGAGTCTTGCATTATATTTGAAGAAGTTAAATAATGAAAAATGTGCATAAACGTATGTATATTTTCTTGCATTGTGAGAAAACAACGGTTCATAGAGCCATCGAATTTTTTGAAAGACGTAATCCTCCTACGAATATGGGCATATGGAAGACCAAATTTGAAATTTGGAATTTGTTTTATTATCGATTTCATATTTTGTAAAACTTTAACGAATTTTTGAGTACCAAACTCAGAGATTTGAAAGCGAGTAAAGGCAACAACAACAACAACAACAACAACAACAACAACAACAACAAAAAAAAAAAAAAAAAAAAAAAAAAAAAAAAAAAGAACCTTTTCATCTCCAGCGCGCGGAACTGTGTATCGGAAATTCTAAAGATAGGCTCATTTTAAAATTATTTTGCGACATTGCTATTGAACTGAATTTTATTGTGCAAAGAACATGATATTTAATAAATAAAGTTAACACACAAAACGTTAAGAAAACGCCTCTTTGGACATAATTTAAAATCTGAAACCTTTCAGATTTTATTTTATTTATTTATTTATTTTTATTTATTTACATTGTACTTTTCCTTATTTAAATGATGACCAAGGATAGACAAGAGACGCACTCGACTTGATCTACGAGCGGACGCCATAATAAACAGCTATAATATAACGCTGTAAGGACAGTGTGTTATCGTTAGTGTTACCATTCTGCAAAGAATAAGATTTTTTTTTCAAATTTATTCTATTATAAATTACCTAAGCGATTTAAAAGCAATAAACGCAGATTCATATAAATTATTATTAATTACTAACTAGACTCACAAAATTACTCTAGCTGGATTCAATAAAATCATTAGATTAAAGAGAGTCCGTTTGTTTCTTTGTGTGTGCGTAATTCATACAAATTTGCAATTTTATTCCATTCTCGACGACATTTTGCGTACTTGAACTTCAAAAGAGGAAGGTCACTATCACTACATAAGATTTCCAAAAACACTCAGTAATGCTACGCTAAGTCACTAGTCATGTCGCCGTCGTTACGGTTCCGCAATCTGTGAAAATCACACAACAAATTAATAAATTTATAATTTTTTTGACAAAAAATAATATAAATGTTTCAGTTTTCATAGTTTCAATTTTGAAATCCCGTCACCGAGTTTAGATTCACTTCACGGTTGTTGCCTTCCAGCTATCAGCTCTTAACTAAAATCATTAGGTGGCGCCGCGTTCTTGTACTCTTCAGAACCTTTAAAACACAAATGCGTTTTCTATGACTTTTTCGCAAATATTTCGAAAAACGGTGAAGAAATCGCTGAAATGGATGCCGGTTTTCCAAAAGTTCATGTCTGGAAAAAGACGTAACCGAGAGCAAAGCAAGTTCCAGTTGTTACTAAAATCTTTATATGGGGCCGAGATAGTTCTACACTGTTGTACGGTTTTATTCGAGCTTGGTAAAATTTTTCACAAGTCATCTTGAATCAAAATAAGAGAAAAATCACTGTCGACCTGAAATTTCGAAATTTCAGGTCTAAATGCCCTTTTTCCTAAATGAAGTCTCTTCATTCTGCGTAAAACGTGTGAAACGCCAATCTGAGTAGGAAAAACAAAAATTCAACTGTATCCTTGCTAGGGTTCGAACTGCGGAGCTTCCACATTGCTTACATGTATTTGCTAACTACTTCGCATTCACGGGAAAATGGAATAGTTCCTTTCAATAGTTGTATTATTTTGATACAAAAGCCAGCCAATTTTGTAGGCCTGCTAAACCTACAGGTGACAGGTGACGGAGGACGGGGACGCCTGATGTTTAACAGAGGTAAACAGGCATATGTCCCGGGCCCTCCCCTATCTAGTGGCAGCAACTCCCAGGAGCCTCAAGGACAGCGCCCAAGCAATTTTGGTTCCTTAATCTTTACTCTGACGTAAAAAAACGTCGGGGCGCGGGTTGAGGGGCAGTCCATATCCTCGAATATGTCAAGAATTATCAGTTTAACATTTCAAAATGTCTAATATTTCTTCTTTTGCATAACTTTCAACTGACATCCTTATTCGGAAATTGCAAAAATTCCATAGCTTGCGTAAGTATTTTTCATTTAAAAATAATTTTCCAATTTTTAAAATTTTTCATATTCTTTGTTTGTTTGTTTCTTAGACTATGGATGCTGTTGTTTTTAGAAGAACGTATGTACGGATTGGACGTTAATGTACTTTAATTAGAATAAATATGATATTTATTAAATATTTTCTCTTTTTCCTGTGCTGTTATTGTTATTAGTTTCTAAAGTATTAATTTAAAAAGATAGAATGATAACTACGTTTCTCTTAAAAGATCGTGTGATTTGTTTGGCGCTATATTTTCTCAAAGAAAAGGTCTGCACTCTCTTTAATATCATTTTAAATAAATTCCACATATCAGTTACTTTTAATTGTGTAAGATACAGTCAACTCCCTATTAAGCGGGTTTGTTGAATAACCAACCTGTTAAATAAAAAAAATAAATAAATAAATAATAATAAATAAATAAATAAATAAAATAAACTTTTTTTTTAATTAGTCCAAAGGGGGTTAGCCCATAAGGGTAATTAATTTCGTTTTGAATTCACTATATATGTTGGTTCACTTTTCAAATTGTTGCCACCAAGTATTAGAGCCTTGCATTATACTTAAAGAAATTAAATAATGAAGAATCTGCATAAATGTATATATGTTTCAAGTATTGTGATAAAACAACAGTACCTAGAACTATCAAATTTTGAATAACGTAATCCCCACCGAATATGGGCACTTGGCAGCCTTAATTTGGAATTTGTTTTATTATCTATTTCATATTTTGTAAAACTTTAAACGAATTTTTGATTACGAAATTCAACGGTTTCAAAGCGAAGAATGGCAACACTGTACGAAAAAAAAAATAAATAAATAAATAAATAAATAAATTATCTCCAGCGCGTGAGACTGCGTATCGGAATTTCTAAGGATAGGCTCATTTTAAAATTATTTTGCGATATTGCTGTTGAACTGAATTTTATGGTTTAAGTGCGAAGAATATGATATTTAATAAATAAAGGTAATACATAAAACGCTAAAAAAACGCCCCTTTGGGCGTGATGTAAAATCTAAAAGCTTTCTCACTTTTTTTCCCACTTTTCAAACTGTAGCCACCAAATGTTAGAGTCCTGCATTATATTTGAAGAAATTGAATAATGAAAAATCTACATAAATCTATGTCTATTTCTCGCATTGTGATAAAACAACGATACATAGAGCCATCGAATTTTGAATGACGTAATCCTACTGCGAATATGGGCATGTGGAAGTTCAAATTTGAAACTTGTTTTACTTATCCGATTTCATATTTTGTAAAACTGTAACATGAATTTGTTATTAACAAACTCAAGGATTTCAAAGCGAGCAATGGCAACGTTTGTACAGATAAAATCAGAGATAAATAGATTTAATAAAAATAATATCTTCTAAGTCTTGGATGAAACGTTTTTATCTCCAGCGCGTGAGACTGTGTATCGGAAATTCTAAAGAGAGTGCTCAATTTGAAACTATTTTGCGATATTGCTGTTGAATTGAATTTGTATGGTTTAGATGCGAAGAACGTGATATTTAATAAATAAAGGTAACACACAAAACGGTAAGAAAACGCCCCTTTGGATGTAATTTAAAATCTGAAACCTTTCAGATTCCCCCCCCCCCCAAGGAACGATTGAAAACTCATGATCCCAAACGTAGTACAAGATCTCAAACGTAACTTATATCAAGAGTGTCATAAATAAAAACAATTTATAGTAAGTTTTACAAAACAAATTATAGTAGTCAGTTTAAAAATTTCTGCCTAATTTTTGTGTATATTATCGCTTGGATTTAAAATAAACTTTAATGGTTATGATGATATACGTAGTAAAATAGATAGAAAAACCACTTCTCTTTTAAATTTTGTTCAAACAATAACATAAATTTTTAATACTTTTTTTAAAAACTTCCTTTTGAGTTAAAAAGAAAAATGAAATGCCAGAATATTTAAAACTGAATTTTAATATCATTTAACAGTGTGGGTTTAATTTTATGAGTGTGCAATATTTAAGAATAAAAGGGCTAAGAGAAATATTTGGAGAATATTTCCCATCCTTAAATTTCTTTTATGTATTTTGACCTTTTCATTTTAAATTCTAATAATAATTTCTACTTTAAAGTCTCTTACTACAATCAAATATTTCATTAAGTACTTATTCAAATTTGTCATGTGTCAAAGAATGTTAGGTCATTTTAACTAGCACCACATGATATGAAAAAGTAAACAGATCCATAAGGAAAACGTAATTCTTAAAATAATATTGAATAGTTTTCAATGCTTTCTGAATTATTATAAATTATGATAGTTGATTCATTGAGTTATTTTTTAGTTCTTGCTTAAACTGAATTAAAAGGGCAACAGGATTATTTCACTACGCTTTTACGAAATTGTTTTATTTTTGGACCTACTGCATATTCTTTGAATGTACATTTCGGCATCTTTTGCTATAAAATATCTAACGATACGAATAACAAAGCGAATTCATTTGTCTTTTACACCAATTAAGAATGAATCATTTAAACTTCATTCTAATTTTTTTTCGATTCATTATAATTAAATATCACAGTACTGAATTCCATCGCAATTAAGTATGGTAGCAGCTTTGCTATATAATTTCCATTTGATGCAAAATATTTTGGTTTAGCAGAATCTTCAGCTACAAAAGTAAAATTTGACTTACCTCTTAACTTCACCTCAACCTTTGGTAATCCAATATCAAGGGAATCGTCTGATGCGTAGCCATCTTGAATCGTCACTAAATTGTCATATGGAGGAAGCTTCATCGCCGAGTGCCCATTCCGATTTTAGCAATAGGAGCCCATCAGTGTAGGCGGGATCTGGGAGTCAAGAAGAGTGCAACCAATGGGAGCAGAGGAGACCGCCCATTATGATATCAACCAATAGGAGTTTCAGAATTTATTCAATATTTGTTTTGTTTTTCCTCGACGGAAAAGGCGGTGATAAAATTATGTCTGCTTGAATTCTCACACAAAATACGGTTAAGAAAATGTATTCGCTTATTCGTTCTTTTCTCAAAAATTAATTTTCCCGCCATTGCTTGTCATTTCGGTTGTGCGAGTGATCTAAAATTAGATGTTGTCCTTTTTAAAACTTTAAGAAAATAAGTGAAAAATTAAGAAAGTTTCAGATTTACAAGCAAAAAGCTTTTAATGTGATATAGGCACAGATTTAAGGGATTTTATTCCGTAAATATACTGAATTGAATCAAAAGTTTAATCAGAGCTAAATGAGCTAAGAGCTAAATGAATTAGGAATTATAAAACTTCTGTAATTCAGTTATAAAATATCAATTCAATAACCTGTTAAAACGATACACAATAAGAGATGTGAGGATACCACATTAATTTTTAAATTAATATTTCAAAGTCTTTGTACTTCACAGTTCTGTCAAAATAAAAATTTTCACAATGTTACCATAACACGTGTTTTTTTTTTTTTTTTTTTTTTTAAGCTCAAGGGCTAAAAAGGGACTATTAATTATTATTAGACTATTATTAGAACGTAAAAAACCTTAAACAAATCTTTTTGGACGACCATTAAAATTTGAAACCTTTAGAATTTTTTTTTAAATTCTTTTTATAAGTAAAGCTTGCTTTCTTTCTTCTTTCAAAACAAGCAATGCGTATGATTTAAATGCTGGTCTCTGATTTTTGCTATTACTAACATTTTCAAATGGCATCATGAGTAAATACTTGGCAAGAATATTTTATTACCTTGCAGCAAACAATTCTTGTTTCTGAAGAAGACAAATCTACAGAAAGTATGACTAATGAACTGTTCGAAAATGATCACTCTGGATTGCTCTTAGCAATTGAATATTGTTAATTGCATGATTATCAATATTTTTACTTAGTAATTTAAACTCCTTTTTTTTGGGGGGGGAGACATATGTTAATGAAACTGACCCAGGAGCAAACACCTATCTCTTACAGTTACTTTCGAATGATATGTTTATAGACTAGTCAGATGTACCATTATTGGTAAAATTTTAGTATACGGTACGTTCTTGGTACTAATTCTGAGAAGTGATGTTAAATGCTCCCCGTCAATCTACTTCTTACAGAATTCTTTCTAAGTTTCATAGTTAAGTTCTCCACATATGAAGCAAACATAGCACTAATTTTCTGGGCGAGAGCGATATTAAATTCGGGAAACTTGTTCTTGATAAACGATTCGTAAAACTCTAATTTTGGAACACTGAGAAGCAACTGCTTGAGAGGATTCTTAGATTATGACTCAATTAGTCCATGCTGCTAATCCGGCCTCACTTATTTAGCAATTTACGTTGAAAAGCATGGTGAAAATATTCAGTTCTATTTCAATGGTATTGAAACTTCTGCGTTCTAACTCGAAATGCAGTTTTCTCATGCCATTTCATAACTCTTAAGCTTATCTTCATTTACTGAGGGTAGTGAATTTAGCCTCGGGAAATTAGACAAGTAATTTTTAACTTAATTTTCTGTCCAGCAAGCAGATCAAGTTTTAGTTTAAAGGCCATTCAAATGGATCCAAATACTGCTGATTCATAGAATTTTTCCTCGCATCTTAACATTTAAGTTGCTCATGTGACAAAGAAGATCTGTGAAAAATGCGAAGTCCGAAAATTCTGCTGCATCGTCCAAGATTTCATACCAAGAAGAATATTGCTTTTTACGGAAGAATGACACAATGCTGCTTTTCAGCTGCCAAACTCTCTTGAAAACACATCCTGCACTAAGCTTCCTTACTTTCGTGAAATACAGGACATCAGTATTCAAATTGCATGGACTGAAGAACAGCCTGAGAATAAGTCTGCGAGATCAAGTAAAGCCTCTGGATTACATCAAGCCAAGTTTCATATTCAGTACAGATTTACACAAGGGCATCTTGATGTATAACGCAATGCAGAAAGATAGCATTATTCCAGGGTTAGTTTTGATTAAAGAGTCCAAGAAATCCAGATTTGTTTCCTGTCATATTTGGTTTTTTATTTGGTTTGAAAGTAGTTTTTTATTAGTTTGAATATATCACTATGTCTTATAAATAATACTAATTGAACAGTATCATTTATATCAGTACTTTCATCCATAGTTATAAAGTCGAATTTAAAGTGGCCAATCTTTGACTCTGGCTGTGATGTCAAATTTTTATTTGATGGCTTTGACTCCATCAGAAATTATCGTTTTTCGAGATAAGCTTATAGTCTCTTTCTCTCGTCTGTACATAAAACATCATAAGCTTGGAGCATGCATTGTTTAACAAACTCCCCGATCACTAAGAGCTTTACTATACTTCTAGCAACATTGTATGCTACAATGTAATTTGCATGCTGCTTCCCGAATACTGCTTACTTTCTTAAAACATTTCCGAACCTGATAAGTCCTTAGAAAGATCTCCTGTTTTATGCTTTCTTTACTATTCGGACATTGCTTCATAACTGGAATTCTGAAGCTTTGATATGAAGTATGGGAAATGTTACATTCTTTGAAGACAGCTACAACTTCACTGCAGATGAAAGCACGACACTATTGCTCAACTTTACATTTTTAATAGACATTTTGGGATTGAAATGCTTTATGAATATCCATAATAATCCAAATAAGCACTGACAACTCTATAGTTCTTAATAATTTCCTCTTCTATAGGAACTCGTTTTTTGCCCCCAATCACGCAACATCTCTTTCTGTTTTGGCATGAGTTCTATATAATATGTTTTATCTATTGTTAAAATCCGTATACGTGTCAAACATATATACATCATATGTAATACATACAATGTGCATTACATATTGTATAGTAATTTAGTATACATAACATTTAATATATAATATTGTTACGAATTTTGTATGTAGTTAGATAATTTTAGTAGAATCCAACTCAATCCATATCGTTATTGCCGATCTGTCCCGAGTATATAGGACTTTGCCGGCTCCTGATAAATATTGCCATGAAGGCACGTAGCAGTTGTCGGTCGGAAAAGTATAGGAGGCACTGAGGTAAAAGAAAGAAGGGGTGACCATGCGTCACTAAGTGGATACCAGACAAACAAGTTTAGCGTGACCTAATGCGGGTAAAAAGCGTAATTAAATGGAGAATTCCTAATAATTAGGGTGGCAAAGACAGGAAATCATGATAATTACAAGTACAATAATAAACAGAAAATTCTGAATATATGAATAAATAGCAAAATCAAATAAATTAAATCAAATCTGGAATAAAGTCTGGGTTAAATAATGAAAAATATGTAAAGATAAATATGAAAATTATGATACAATATATATGTTACGGTGAAACACCGAAATCTGTTACGGTGAAACACCGAAATGATACAATATATATGTTACGGTGAAAATTGGCAATATTCACTTTCACCGGTGAATGTCAACATTCACATAGTCGCTTGGTGTATGTCCGAAATATTTTCCAAATACTCTTATTTCTGACTTACACCGGTGGTTGTCGATATTCACCATGTACTAATGGTGAATGTTGAACATATAAGAATATTATATTTCCTTCTCCGTAATTCATTTGCGAAAAAACGCACTTGAGACTCAGAATAAGAACTTAAGAACGTAAGAACATAAGAACGAACTTAAAACACACAGTACATTCAAAATGAGAAAAGAAAATAATAGAAGTTATAAACTTACCAAATTATGTGATTCAAATCTTATTTATTGCAACAACTTAAACTATTATGACACTTTGAATTGCACAAGAGGTCTTGCTTTTACAACTGCATTTATTTGTGGAACACTTCCTTTTGGAATGGCAGAGTGTACATATACTCCTCTCTTTTCGACCTACACCAGAGCATATATGTGATTGTCGACATACACCGGTGAGGGTCCGAATGTACAAGAATGTAAAGAAATATTCGATCTTTCACCGACGTATTTGGTAAATGTTGACATTCTCCGGTGAATGTTGACATTCTCCGGTGAAAGTCGACATTCTCCAATTTTGGTCTTTTCCGGTAACATACTATATACAGTGAAATAAAATCAGATAAATACTTACTGCGTGTAAGTCAGTGCAATGAGAATTTATTCAGAAGGTTTTTCTTGATTTGCGGTTTTGATTTCCTTAATTCGCTAAGTGATTTGCACAAAGCCAGCGCTTTTAATGACAGAGACAAGCTCTGCAGGATCTGCAAAAATTTTCTTAGCCTCATTTATAGTCTCATTGAAAGTGCCAGTCGAAAGAGACTGTGCATACGATTTACCTTCAATGATACGACTGGGATAAGTCTTTTTTTTTTTTTTCCTTAGATTTAGGGAACTTTGCGCGCCCTTTAAAGCTGGATGTATGATTTAAATTAAAATTTACACAGACAAGTGGTTTATCTGGATTATTCTTAACCGACAGTCTCTTGATTCATGATTTCCAGCACACCTGACACAGCCTGGCTGGTTGTTGCAACCTATTAGTGTGTGGTTGAAACCCTGACGTTTGTAGCACTGAAAGGGCCTTGCTTCCTTTTGTACTCTTCAATCTTGACTCTCAGTCCACATAAATATCTGACCTGATAAACATTTTTAGAAGCTTATGGAAGTTTAGTAACCTCACCGTTTCTCCTTCTTGGTATTTGTTTTATTTCATCAGGTTTCTGGTTCAGAGAAATCAGATCCTCCTGAATTTCTTCAATCTCAGTAGTTCAGTCTTTTGATGACAATTTTGATTTTCCAGTCTTGGGGGAGAATATTTGAATGATGTTCTACCCCCAATTCATTCAACATCTTGACCATAGCTCTATATGTCTCTGGATCATTGGTAGAAACTTTCACACCATCATTTTAGTAGAACTATAA